TTTCAGCTATTCTCATTAATTATAGTTTTGTTAATGTTTTCATAATAGTAAATATACATAAGAGCTTGTGTGTACCATTAAAAATAATAGAACCAATTAAACCCACTATATAGCTTAAGATATAAAACTCTATACCTTTTACTTTTCTGTGTGCCCCTTCCCATCCCTTAACCTCTACCCAGAAGTAAACACTACCTTGAATGTTATCTTTCAATTGCTTTTCCCTATAAATTCATGTATATATTCACTAACATTTTGCCTCGATTTACCTGTCTTTGAATGTTAAATGGGATGATACTGCATATGATGTTCTGCAGCTTTAATTTTTTGCTCAGTATTAACCAGATTCAACCATGTTGATGTGTAGTTGTAGAAATATATCTCAGTTTACTTACCTTTATCTTTTGCTACTTAAATGATATAATTATAAACATATGCTAATATGTCTTCTGCTAAACTATATGCAGGATAGTTTTTCTAGGATGTATATCTAAGACTAGAATTGCTGAACAGTAATCCACTTGCCTGAATAATACCTTATTTTTAAAAATTATACCAATGTATACCCTCTCATCATGCACAAGTTCCCATTACCCTACTTCCATGCTAACATGCTATAGTCATACTTAACATATGGCTAATCTGATCTATAACAGTGTTTCATGTAGACATTTTAAATTTGCATTTCATTGTTTACAAATGAAGTTGAATGTCTTTTCATAAATTTATTGATAACTTCTATTTTTTTTGTTGACTTTTAGGTGGCATTCAATTTTAAAGTTCTCAGTGCCAGCCCACGGCATTTATATGTGTGGCGAAAATCTGATCTCTGACTTTTCACCCTCTTAATGGGGTCTTTTAATAAAGCTTTATTTAGTGAATGTTTCGTATTTTCCCTTATAAATTTGTATCTTAAGAAGTCTTTTCCTTACCCCAAGGTCATAAAATGATTGTTTTCTTCTAAAAGGTTTAAAGTTTTGTTCATCATACTGTAACTCTTAATTCATCTGGAATTTAATTTTTTTGTATGAGGGTAGGAATCTAGTTTCATTTCTTCCTTATGATCAATGGTGCTTATTAAATATAGCCCATCCCTTCCCCCAGTGATCTTTACTGCTAAATCTGTCAGACTACGTTATAATTTATACATTAGTCTGTTTGTGTGTGATTGCGATATTCACTTTTGTGTTATTTTTTCTACTGGGCTCTTCATTAAAATTGTGTCTATGAATTTATTCCTTTCAAAGAACCAGTCATTTGCTTTTTTATTTTGTACATTTTGTATTCCCTTGATTTCTGCTTAATTTCCTTTTTATAATACTTAGATTTAATTTGCTTTTTTCTAACTTCTTCACATGAGTGTTTAGCTAATTGATTTTTAGAAATTCATTTTATTATATGTATTTTGGGCTATAAATTTCCTATGAACATTAAGTACATCCCACAAATTTTTATATATCACATTTTCATGACTCAGTTAAAAATATTTTCTAATAGTTGATGTGGTGTTCTATGTATGTCAATTATGTTAACTTGTTTTTTCAAGTCTTCTATATCCTTTTAAATTATTTTTGAAATTTGTTTCTTCTATCAGTTACTAGGGGAAATCTGTAAAAATCTCTCAATTATAGGTTTGTTTCTTTCCCCTCTTACATGCGTTTCTGCTTTATATAGTTGAAGCTGTGTTTTCAACATACACAAATGTAGGAGGGTTTTATCTTGTTGATTTGACCCTTTTATAACTACCATAGGCCACTCTTTGAAAACTCTGGTAACACTTATTAGATGTAAACATTAAATATATTAATAGTAAAATGCACAAATATTTGTATAGCTTTGTTTATTTTTATCTATGTATATGCCTGTGAAACCACTGTTCAAATCAGGATGTAGAACATTTCATCACCCCAAAAGGTATCATGCCCTTTCCAGTCAACATTATGCTGAATTTTAGTTTTGCTTGTTCTTGAACCACATATAATGTTACAATAACAGTATGTACTCATGTGTCTGGCTTCTTTTGTCCCACATGTGTATTTTAAAAGATTTATTCTCCAGTGGTAGTGCCTGTCCTAGTTAAAAAAAAAAATTATCCATGTCATTGCATCTACATTGCTGAGCAGTTTTCATTATGTATGTAACCACAATTAATTTACCCATTCTCTTGATTTAAACTTGGATTGTTTCCAGGGTTTTTTCTTTGGAGGGAGGAGCCTCTTAATAAAGCTACTATCAACATTTTTGTGCAGGTCCTGTTTGTGGTACCTATATACTCATTCCTTTTGGGCATATACATAGATTGTAGATGTCATCATAGCGTAGGCATATTTAGCTTTTAACTTTGCCACATTTCCAAAGTGGCTATATACCATTTTACACTCCTAGCAACAAATGCACGAGAGTCCCATTTGCTTTGCAACCTTGCAAAAACCTGGATTAGTCAATCTTTATGTTAGCTTCTTTGATGAGGTAAGGCTGGCATTAAATTCTGGTTTTAATATACCTTTCCCTGATAAATAATAATGTTGACCACCTTTTCATACATTATTGGCCATTTGGGTATCTCCTATTGTGAAGTGCCTATTCATATTTATATCTTTTCTCCATTTAAAATATACTCAGTTTTACTTATTAGTAGTGTTATTGTCAAATATATGAGTTCCACTGTGAAACCAATGCAGCAGAGGCAGCTTGAAATATCAACGAGATGTTTGGGAAGGATGTGGCTAATGAACACATCTATGATTTGAGAAGTTCTATTCTGGTGATTTTAATTTTGAAAATGAGCCATGTGAGTGTCCTGAGACCAAAGTGGATAATGATGAACTAAAAGCTATAGTGGCAGTGAATCCATCTCAATCTATGTGTGAATCAGCAGCAAGGTTTGATGTTACTATTCCAACAATATTGGACCACTTGAAACAAATAGGCAAGGTAAAGAAACTGGATAGGGCTGGGCGTGGTGGCTCCCGCCTGTACTCTTAGCACTCTGGGAGGCCCAGGCAGGAAGATTGCTTGAGCTCAGGAGTTCAAGACCAGCCTAAGCAGGACCAAGACCCCATCTCTACTGAAAATAGAAATAAATTAGCCAAACAACTAAAAATAGAAAAAATTACTCAGGCATGGTAGCGTGTGCCTGTAGTCCCAGCTACCTGGGAGGCTGAGGCAGGAGGACTGCTTGAGCCCAGGCTGACACCATAGCAGTATAGCCCAAGAAAGAGAGTGAGACTGTGTTTCAAAAAGAAAGAAACTGGACAGATGGGTTTTGCATGAATTAAACAAGCTTCGGTGGAGAAATCATCTTGAAGCTTGCCTTTCTTTGCTGTCATGACATAAAGGCAAACCCTTTCTATACTGTATTCTTATGTGTGATGAAAAATGGATTATTTTTGACAAATGCAAGCACCCGGCACAATGGTTGGATAAAGATGAAGTGCTGAAACACTGTCCAAAACTGAGTATTTATCAAAAAAGATTACTGGTGTCTGGTGGTACAGCACTGGTATTATCCACTACAGCAGATGTCTACTGCTACCAATTGGACGAAATGATGAGGATGGTTGTGATTAAGCAGCCGAGATTGGTCAACAGAGACAGGACCGTCCTCTTGCAAGACAGTACTCAACCACATGTCACACAAACAACGTTGCTCAAACTATAGAGGCTGGACTTGGAAACTGTCGTCCACCATATTCACAAGACCTTGCATCAACTGACTACCATGTCTTCCAAGCTTTGAACAGCTTTTTGTAAGGAAAAATACTCAATTCTCAACAAGCTGTGGAAAATACCTTTTGCAATTTCATTGCCACTCAGTCTCCAGGCTTCTTTGCTGCTGACATAAACAAGCTATCATTGAGATGGCAAAACTGTGTCAATAGTTTAGGCACATACTTTGATTAATTGTACTGCTTCTTGATTGAGATATAATGAACTACTACACTTTTGATCCCAAATCGGACATTTCATATTTAACTTTCCATTTTGTGCAGAATGCCTCCTTGCCATCATTAATTACTGGCCAACAACAAAAAACTTTAAGTTTCACTGGAAAGTTATTTCCAAAGTCACAGTATTTATAAACTTTACCTCTTTTTAAGATCAGTTACCAAAACCCTGCAGAACCCTCAGGCCAGCCCCCTAAGCCAGCTCAGCTCTCCAGCCTCCCGGCCTCCGCTCCGCAGACTCCGACATCACAGCACACGGGGACACACGCTTCATTCGGGATATGAGAAGGAAAGAGCGGGCCTGGCTGCCTCCTCCCCTCCAGGCAACGTCCACAATAGGCTTTTGGAGCCCTAAACCTCCCAGAGACCAGGCCAAAGCTTGGAAGCCGGCCAGAATGAGCACACTGGGACACCTGGGGTACCTTACAAGCGAGAGCAGAAGGCAGCCTGAAGAAATGCGAAGGCCAGTCAGTGCGACCTGAGATTCCTTCTCACTGTCTGTTCAAGAGCAAAGGCCAAGGCCGGGGAATCACTTACAGCCAGCAGTTCCAGACCAGCCTGGGTAACACAGCGAGACCCTGTCTCTATAAAAAATAAGAAAAGTTAGCCGGGTGTGGCGACGCATGCCTGTAGTCCCAGCTACTCAGGAGGCTGAGGGAGGAGGGCCACTTGAGCCCAGGAGCTTGAGGCTGCAGTGAGCCGTGATGACTCCACGGCACTCCAGCAGGGCCAAAGGAGCAAGACCCTGTCTCAAACAGAAAAGAGTGGAGGCCAATCCTTGCAAAGAAACAAAAGCCCTCAATGGGAGTAAGTATGTGCCAAGTAGTTTCCCCATGTCCTGATAAGGACTGAACACAAGAACTGGTAACCCTACGGCACTGGACCGTGCACCTGCTCCTTAGTGTTCTGGGCCCTCTTCTCAGAGAGTGAGGACAAAAGGGACCCAAAGCCATCACCAAAGGGTGGTGGTTCTCAGGGTCATGCTGTCATCCATTAAAGGCTGGTTCTGAGTAACAGTGTAACTGGTACAGCAAAGGCTAGAAGCACACAAACAAATTGTGACAATTTATATTCTTTGTTAAAACAGTTCCTGCTATGTTTTAAGCCCATTTGCTTCTAGTTTAAATTAAATGAGTGACACATACACAGCTTTCAAGGTATTTCCTAGAGAACGTGTGATTATCCATGCCTGAAACAGGTACCCATCGTCTCCTCTGTAGTGTCTGCAAACCTGTCACAATACCCGCCAGTTCCAGATGCCAGCCATTCCAACCCTCTCTTAGTCCAGAGGCCATGATCCTGTGGGACAGCAGTGCCTGCGGACTGAAACCTGGAAGAGCTACTCAAGCCAGCAGGAAGCCTTTCTGGTGTAGACTGGGAACAAATGGCTCAATTTGTAATACTCAATTCATCCACCTTCTGAAAAAAGAACGAGAGTTGTCCATTGACGGGTCATGGCCTGGGGGCAGGCGGCAACACTGTCCCCCGCCTCAGGATGTTCTGTCCAGAGGGTGGGCACAGATGTAGGTTCGCTTTTCAAGGACCTGCTGGGACACTCTCTTAATCTGCTCATCTAGGTTTTCTGGAGCATCTGGGAGGGAAAAAGAGGGAGCAGGTGATCTTTCTGCATCGGGGGCATTTTCAACAAAGTCAGCCCTCCCGCCCTGAAACAGCCCTAAAGGTGATCCATCCCCTCCTGTAAACCCCCAGGAAGTGACTCTGGGCTGCAGGAAGAGAAAGGGAAAGAGGCTTTCTTGAGTAAGAAAGGGCTCATCCTGTTAATTTCTAAAAACCCCAGATCTTGTGGGGCTAGAATTGGCACTTGCTCAGTAAATGGCCTGTTTGCAATTCTAGCCCATTGGAGGAGAAACAACCGTCGCCCTTCACAGTATATAACTGTCCTGTCAGCACTGTGGGGGCACCTAGGACACCCCCAGGGCCAGGACCTGCAAAACTTCATATGCCACTCTCAGTGAATGGCACGATGCCGGTGGCCTCTCCACTATCACCTGGCAACAGGACTGGGCTCTGCAGGGGACACAGATCCAAAACCTTCCGGCCAATAGGACCATAAGGTCAGAAGTAGACTCTGAGCTGGGCAGTCCCAGATGTGGTCAAGAAGCTACAGAAGAATTGGTGCATTCCACACGAACTGAAAAGCATGAGCAAAGCCCCTCAATTCTCCAAGGCCTGAGACATGAGGGGCGTGGCAAGGTCATTCTGGCTGGCGTGCCGCAGTAGAGACAGTAAGATGCTGTCTCCTGAATCAGCCACCATGTCTCCTGCCTTCATGACGCTTCCTGGGGGCACTTAGAGAACACAGCCAGGCATGCTGGGAGGCACCAGCAGGCCCAGCACAAGGGGCCCTCTACTTGCTCAGTATGGACTGCCTTGGTGAAGGGCACAGGTGCCCATGTGCAGGCAGGTCCTGCCCCATAGGCTCTGGGGACTTGACAGGGTTCAGGGACGGCTCACCACCAACAGGAGCTAGGAGCTGCGCCCTCCCTTCCCTCCCGGAAAATACCCTTCTTACACTTGTCCAGCTGAGACAGGCTGAAGAGATTCTGGAAATAAGCATCCACACAGAAGATGTTGGCCAACAGAACCTGCCAAAACCCAGGATAGAAGGCATAACTGCTTGAGAGCCCTGGAATCTGACCTCTGAGCTTTAAGAAACCCAGCCTGTCAGCCAAACCAGGCAGCCTGATGGGTCGAAAGGTCTGGCTCAAAAGTCACACGGTCTTGGGTTCTAATTCTAGCCCTGACCCCAGCGACCCCGTCCGCCAGGGCAGGTCACGCAGCATCCCTAAGACCATCTCCTCTGAGAGGCAGACACCAGACCCTGGTGTCCACAGGCTACTCCAGGACAGTGCACGTGGGGGCCAGGTACATGTAAGTGCTAAGTGACAGCATCTCCTTCCTCCAAATGGGCAAGGAATGTGTACGTCTGCTCCTTGGCGGGGGTAGGGGCAGGCAGACCCCAAACATTTGAGGACTCTGGGGTTCAAGGACACTGTCACTCGCCCCGCCTTCTCTCAAGGAGGAAGACAAAAGGGAGTGGCCCTGTCTCCTGAGCAGCACAGACCCTGTGGCTTCCCCGGCAACACCTGCTGGCACCTCACCCTCTCAGTGACCACCACTGGGTGCCATGGCCCCTCCCTTCTGGGACTACCAGACAGAGCCTCACCAACCAACTACCCCTTCCCCCACAATCAGTTTCATTAAAGTGCAACAGGTCAGAGGCCACCTGTGCCGGGCGGGGCTCACCTCGTGGTCGTGGTTTCGAAGCCCAATGCGGACGGAGCGGCTGGCCCGTGACAACACGGCCGTCATGCCGTACAGGTTGATGAGGATGTTGGCCACCCGCTTCATCACCAGCTGCTCCTCCACGATGGTCTGGGAACACAGGGGTCAGAGTGGGGATTCGACACCTGGGATGGAACAGGCCCCCGCGGTTCCTACTCTGGGGTGCATCTTTGCCGGTCTCTGAGTCTCCCCGTGTTCCTTGGGAAAGTGGGGCCAATGATGTCTTTCCCTTTGGGTCACAGAAGGCCAGCTCATGGCTGCCTTCTATTTTCCCTTCTCTTTGGTCTCTCTAGATTTGGGAACGAATTAAGGCAAGACCAGAGCCCAGAAAGCTGGCTGAGACCAGAGGCTGATGCTTAGTGTGCTCCTGTCACTTTCTGCAGCAGGAGCCCTGCCAGCAAGTCCCCAGATTTAGGCCCCATAGAGGGCCACCCTCCCAATTCCAAGGAGCCTTTCGTCACCTGGAAGGTGCATAGGAAAACATCACAGAAAACTCACACAGCAGGGGTGCTCATCTGAGAAGCTGAGTGGCCTCTAGGACAGGCAGACACACCTAGCTCAACCTCCCCACCTTATCCCTCCCTGGGGATCAAGAGACCGGGCGCGGTGGCTCACGCCTGTAATCCTAGCACTCTGGGAGGCCAAGGTGGGAGGATCACTCGAGGTCTGGAATTTGAGATCAGCCCGAGCAAGAGGGAGACCCTCTAGTAGATTCTCTACTAAAAATAGAAAGAAATTAGCTGGACAACTAAAAATATATAGAAAAAATTAGCCAGGCATGGTGGCGCAAGCCTGTAGTCCCATCTACTCAGGAGGCTGAGGCAGGAGGATTGCTTGAGCCCAGGAGTTTGAGGTAGCTGTGAGCGAGGCTGACACCAACATAGTGAAACTGTCTCAAAAAAAAAAAAAAAAAGATTTCTATACTAGGCCTGGTGCCAAAGGCAGACACTTGGCCAAAAGCAATCTCATGGATGTTGGCCAAGTCAGAGGCCTGCTGTGCCCCTAGGCCTGGAAGGGCCTGCTTACCTTGCCAAAGCGGAGCAGCAACGTCTCAACCGTCCGACCAAAGTAAAATACATTCTCCTCGAGCTTGTTGGCACTGTCCTATTGGGACAAACGACAGGATCCAGCTCAGCACCTCTTCCCTATAGTGCCCCGGGCATCTGGGGTGCCTTGGGCTAGCTGGTGGTCCCCAACTTCCTCAGGACTAGCCCAACCCCGTGTCCAAGCCCTTCTGAGATGGGGACATCTGGCAGGAGGGCACCCAAGTAGAGGGGTACACCAGCTAGATTCACTCACCGCAAGACTGGGGTGCACAAGTCCAAGTTCACCTGTCAGTCCCAAGTCCACAGTGCGGCCCAGCGAGTCCCGAAGCCTCCGGCCGATAGTCTCCATGACTGTGATCACCCGGCCCTGTTTAAACTCACTGCAGAAAGTCCACAATCTGTGACCAGAGGCCGTGCTGCCAGCTCCCACTGTCCAGCAACACGGCCTCTAGGCACCCGACTTCCACACCCCTCCCTTGGCCCAGACATGCTGGGCTCCTGGCTGCAGGATGAGCCCAGCCTGTCAGAGAGCAGCCACTGCTTGGGGAAGCAGAGTCACAGCCAGCTTCCCTGCAGCTGGCTCCCAACAGAGTCTGCAGAACGCTGCCAGCAGCCTGTTCTTGGGCCCTAGCAGAGATCTGATTGCTCTACCCCTAGGATGGGGTAGAGAGGTGCAGGAGAGGAAGAGAGGCAGAGAAGAGAGAAGTTGGTCTGATGTTGGCCTCAGAGCCTGAAAACTTGAGGGACATTTCTCATTTATCAGGTTTTGAGAAACCAGCTGCCCCCAGTGTGGGAGACAAAAGCTACCTGGGGATGGAAGAGACAGAGTTCAAGTTGGGGTGGGAGGGTAGGTGGCCACAGGATAGGGCAGCAAGGGCTTCCCTGGGCGGCCAGTCCCCATCATCCACAGGGGAAGGCCAGCAGCTCCACACCTGGCTTCCCAGGCCCTGCATCCAACAGCAGCCTGGAGTGAGCACTGGGGCTGTGCCATGCTCCCCACACCCCAACTGCAGGACAAGGCAGCCTGTTCTTGCCACTCAGACTGGCCTCTGCTGCGCAGCTGGGACCTGAGGAGTGGACGGTGGGAATGGCACCTACTTGATCCTCGAAGTCAGGATGCGGCCGGCGTGCTGCAGACCCGTCAGGGCGATAAACATCCGGAGAATCTCGTTGGTTCCCTGTGGCCAGCAGTGTAGAGGTCAAAGGCTGCCCAGTGTCAGGGACAAGTGGAGGAGCTGACCAGACTGTGACCTCCACTGGGACCTACGACCAATCTGTGACCATGTCTCCAGCTCCCTTTTATAATGGAAACCAGCTTTTCCTGGGGGTTACATAAGGGTACTGATGCCCAGGGCACAGCTAGTGCCAGACAAATGTGCACTGGCCTGGGGCAGAGGCCTGACTCCTCAGGGAAGCTACAAACTGCTGAGCAGCAGCAGCTGGAAGCTCCCTGTGCCAGGTGCTCTAACCCCCGCCACCTGTGATGACATCTGATGGCTGTGAGGGGCCAGTGGGCTTCTGCCCACTGTGTACAATAGCCCTGTGCATCAGAAAGGTACAAGGGCCTGACCCAAGCCACACAGCCAGCACTGGGAACTGAGGACTGTCCCCTACAGCCAGGCTGGCATGACTGGTAGCAAGACTCCTAGCACAGAGGAGGAGAAGATGTGGAGGCCTCCAGGCAGGACCACCCCCAGCTCTGAGCAGTCTCTAGACAGGAGGATCTGCCCCACACTGAAGGCCCTGTGCCCATGCCTTGGCCCTGTGAAGCCCTGCAGACCACACCACCCAGCCACGGAGCCCAATGCTCCGGGTGGAGGGAAGGACTTTTGGAGAAGAAGTCCTGGGCCAGCAGGGCTGTCACACGCCCCGTGCCCTCAGGCTAGCCCTCACCCTGTCTGTCCAAGACAGATAAGATGGCGGAGAACTGTGGCCAAGGAGCCTTCCACTGGGATGTCCCAGGAGCCAAGACCCATGCTCCCGAGTCTGAGGACACCCTCCTACACACAAAAGCTGCTCAGGCTCAAACCCTCCCTGCCTCCTGCGCACTCGCAGCCCTCAAAGACAGTCTCTCCCTCCCAGTGCGGGCGTCCCGGCCTTGGTCTCACACCTGTCTCCCATACTCCTCGTTAGCTCCAGCAAGAGTTTCCCAGTACATAAATACAACCAATTCACTCCCTGAACAAAAGCTTTTTATGGCTTCCAAAATTCCTCTGCTTGTTAACCAAGGTTCTACTTTTCCAGCCTGCCTTCCCATCCTCCCTCTGCACATGCCCCCACGACTAGGAATGACTGTTGCTCTCAGAAAGACTTCCTTCCTCTCTCTCCACTCTCTTTGAGCTAACAGGTCCACCTGTCTGGGCCCAGCACGCTCCATTTCCCTCCCCTCGGCGCCAGCTGCCCTCCTGTAGCCCTGGTCAACGTCTTCTCTACCCCTAAGGGCCATGGGCACGTGCTCCACAAGACTCCAGCTTCCTCCTGAAGGACGCCTACCTCCCATCTCCCACCCTGCTTGTATTACACCCTCCTTGGGCAGCATGCTGCACAGTCAGAACACAGATGCCTGAGTGGCCTCCGTGGCGCACGCGCCCCCACTCAGGCACACACTCGGTGAACTGACTCTTTGGTCCTGTGCCTTCACAGAGGGCAGCAATAGAGAACAGCAGACATCCGGTTAGCGGACCGCAAGGGTGGCCCTGTTGAACTGCCTCAATTCACTGAGAAGGAAACCAAGAAGCAGAGAGCATGCACTCAAGGCACAGCAGCGCTGGGAATGAACCCTGGCACCGTACGAGACCTGTGTGTCCCCCACACACAGCCAGAATATGGCAGAGAAGACACACAGCTCATCACCAGGAGGCAGTGGGCTCAGTGGAAAGGGCCCTTAGGAGTAGGACCCTGAGCGAGCTGCGTGACCTCAACTTCTCCCTCTGCAAAATAGGATCTGTGCAGGGTTGCTAAGAGGATCCAATGAGAACACACAGCCAGCATCTGTGGGGGCCTCCCCTGGGCTCCCAGCAGCATGTCCAAGGACCAGGGGGGTCTGGGAGAGGAAGGTGGGGACGTCGGTGGGGGTCCACAGCAGAGCGCAGCTGGCAGCAGGGCCACTCACCTCGAAGATGAGGAGGATGCGGGTGTCACGCAGCATGCGCTCGTATGGGTAGTCCCTCATGTAGCCTGAGCCCCCGAGAATCTGCAGCGCCTCACTCACACACTGCCAGGCGGCCTCGGAGCTGAACACCTGACACAGGCCCAGGGCAAGGTCAGCACAGGGACGTCACTGCTGAATCCCTCCCATAAGGAGGACCTATGCCGTGGGAAGCTGGGTGGCTGGAAATGAGTGGGAGTCTCTGTGCAAAGAACCCCAGGCTCAGGAACAAGACCCACCCAGGGAGAGACTCAGTAGGTTACTGCAGCAAGTCCTTTGTCTTCCTCAACCACACTGACCAGCTTGTTATCCCCACCCCACCATGACCTCTCGCACCGCTGGGCCTTCCTTCACCCGCTCCACACCTGGCTCAACATAAAACTGACCTAAGATCTCACCTTCTCCAGGAAGCTTGACCTATCCCCACCCAGCCATATCTGCCCTGAACACCCCCCCAACTGTGACTTATTTCTGCCTGCACGATGTGAGCATCTCAAGGACAGAGAGGCTGTCATGTTGAAGTCTAGGCTTAGCACCTGCAAGAGGGCCAGCTCACAGGCACCAACTAATGTCCGTGGTTCTTGCTGAAGGGTGACGAGAAGATGGGATGATAAAGCACGTGCAAACACACTCAGCACACAGGCTACACCTCACACCTAGAGAAGATTCACTGAAACACTGAGTAACGTTCTTGTCCTTGTAGGTGTATTTCCTGCCAACACCAGACTGTTCACTTCTCTAAGCTGCCATACCTCTCAAGAGCTCAATTCCAGAGACCAGTTTAAAAAGTTTGTGGGTCTCCAAGGAATTAAGGGAAGAAAAAAGAAATACAATTCATGGGGAACCAAAGTAGGGTTCTCCCCAAAGTGGGCTGGCCATCTTTTTTATTATAGCTAAAAAAGCATACCCTGAAACATAAGAAAAGTAACAGAAAACTCTAGTATTGGCCTCAACCAAATATTTTATTTTTAAAAGGAAGTTTTGATACCAGTAAATAGGAAGGTCAAAAACTCAGAAACACAGTCCTTCCCACGAGAGCCAGCTGCCGTTGTATACTAATACAGAGTTATCACAAGGGTCTGTGCTTTCTCCGTTTGCTGTAAACTGCTGATCAACTGGCCAAAGGTGGCACAAACCGCACCAGGGAAACATGGAGCTCTCTTGAAACTGACACTCGGCTGGGCACTGTTCTCGGTGGCTTCTGCACAGCGCCCCCTAGGGGCCTGCCTATCCCTGGAACACTGCACACTGTGGATGTGTCAATACTAGATCAAGGACAAACGGGCCTATAAACTAAGAAGAAGATGGCAGGCAACATAGGGGGTCTGAAAGGTCGTAGAGAAAGAGCTTTGCCGAGTCTGCCCTCAATGCCAGCTCTCAGCCCTCTGGTTACACGACATTACCTTCACCATGGCTGCCTCGATGGAGCAGTCAGGAAACCCTGGTTGGTCCAGCATCCCTGCAGTGAGGTAGGCCATGCTTTCCATTACGTAAGCTTTCTGAGCCATCAGGGCAAACTTTTCCTGGAGTGTGCAGGAAAAAAACACAGTCAAAAAGCAATTTGCATGTGCTAAGACCAAGATCTGCCAACCAGCAGAGAAGGTCATTAAGTCGGAAGCCTCGCTGCCCAGGAGAGGCAAGCCCAGGCATTGATAAAAGGAACCTGCAATAAACAAACCCTTATGGAGTCTTCCCAAGTCACATGGGTCAGGGGTACAGAGAAACCAAAGACCACACCTCTCACGGCCACACGGTGAAACCAACACAGACCGCACTCAGCTGTCAGTACCTGAATCAGTCCAAATTCGCTGAGATTCCTGTTGAACTGTTTCCTCGTGCAGGCATATTCAGCAGTCATTTCTGAAGAAGAGCAGAGTTGTAGAAAGAACCAGAACACTTCTGGCTGTTCTAAATGATTTCCTAAGGCTACCATTGTTACCCTTCAGACGCTCAGGTGGGACGTGAGAAAGTGTCTGCTGCAGTGGACACCCGCAGGCCAGCGCCCGCTCTGCAGTGCGAGAGGCAGAGGCAGGGCTGCCCACTGCTCGTGGCACGTGCATACAGCCAGACAGAGATTCGAAGCCTGCCACTTGTTCTTACCAGCCGGTGGCCTTGGGCCAAGTGCTTCACCTCCCTGTGCACTACCCACCTCAGAGTCACTGCAAAGATGAAATCAGACGGAATCACAAAGCCCGGCGCACACAGCACCCCAGACAGAGGGGGGCAGGCCCGCACCGGGCACAACGTTCCTGACCAAAGTGGGACAGGCGGCCGGCGTGGCAACTCGGGCCTAGGCCTTTGGATATATGGTTGTGAATACAGGCTGAGCTCGGAGGGCCCCACCCAGGCATCAGCACCCCCAGCCCCAACTGCAGCCCGTGTGCTCCACATGCCTTCACAGGTGCAACAGGACCCCACGTCTACACATTTCTGGGCTGTGCGATCTCACCAGAGGTTATGCATCCTTTGGAGGACAGCTGACCGTAAGAGCCCCCCTCAAGCTCTTGCCCTGAGTTTTCCAGACAGGGAAACACAGGCCTAGCGTGGGGAGAGCCCTGAGCCCGCAGTCTGACAGGTTTAGCTTTAGGTCCAGGTGCACGGCCTCGGGCAAACCTCAGTCTCATCTAAGAAATGAAGGGAAGAACCCAAAACAAAGCCTTCGTGTGCCCGCTTTGCCCTGAATTCCAGGAGGCCAAGCCAGAGCCTGGCACCAAAGAGGAACTCCATCAAGCTGGGAGCACGCCATGCCTGGCGACCCCCATTTCCCTGCAGACGCTTCCACACAGCTCAGAGCTTTAGGGCTGTTTTGTGTTCGGTGGCAAGGGAAATCTAGGTGCTATGTACCCTGGCAAAACAATAAGGGAAAGATCCAGAGGCCAAGGGATCTGGATTCCAAACCTGACCCCACTCTTCAACCCTGTGCAAAGTCTCCTACAAGATGGGAAAACGTGAGAATCACAGCTGACGTCTCCCACTGCCTAGCTCACGGTGTGGTGTTCAGTGGCCGCTCTGGCCCTGGTGGTCAGGGCAGCACACCCCCTTCCACCTCTGGCAGAAAGCAGGTTCCCTGTCCCCTTATGAAAGATGCAGACTGGCCTCTGGGGGCAGGCCGAGTAGATTCACTGGTCTAAACGCCAGCCCAGATGCGAAGCTTGAGCAGGACCTCTGTCCAGGTGGCCTGGAAACGGACTTGGGAAGGGCAGAGCCTCCTGGTCTGGAGTGGGGGTGCCAGGGGGCAAGATGGCTGCATACTGTCCCTGACTTACCTACCAATCAGTTTCTTGAGCATCCCGGCCACGGCACTGCCCATGCTGAACCGCCCGCTGTTGAGGATGTTCATGGCCACCTGCAGGGACAGTAGGAAAGCCCGCAGGCACTGAGGATGCAGGGGAGCAGACCACAAGGCCGCCTGGCCACTTTCACCACAGGCTCTCTTGACAACAAAGGCGAGTCTCTGTAGCACCGTGTGCCGGCATCCAGGCCCGGGCCCCTCTGTGCTGGGAGAACACAGTCCTCACACTTCGAACAGGGTCGCTCAGCCACTGCTGAGCTGTGGCTCTTATCAGCATCTCTGGAGTCACCTCCCCACACACCCCAGAAAGGCCAATTCTCTCACCCTCAGGGGAAGAGAGCAGAAACTAAGATTTCTTTAGTACATGCTGCAAGCTTGTACCTTCCCAACAAGGCTGCAGGGTCAGGACCCTCATTTCACTGATGAAGAACCTGAGGTTCGGAGTGGTTAAATGACGCTCCCAAGGCCCCAAAGCCAGCAGCTGCCTGAAATCCAGCCCTTGTTCTCTCCCCTCACGATGAGATGACCCCAGGGAACTCAGCCACATTCCTACAGTAAGGACCTGAAGATTTTGTCAGCTTCCTCCCTTTCCCCCTCTATCTTCCCACCAAACTCAAGAGTCAGCAGCCTAGACAAGGGACAGACACACAGCCCTGGTGTCACACACACTGACAGACCAGAAGGGCACGCCACAAACAGCCAGGTACGCAGCAGGTGGTCAACGGTGCAACAGTGGCCAGAGGGAAGTGTCTGAGTCCAAGGGGACTTCTGGTGTGGGGAGAGGGGACACTGGGCAGCAAAGGATTCCCCAAGGAAACACCTGGGCTGGGCCAGGGACAGATGGGCAGAGGACTGACATGTGTAAAGCCCTGCAGCCACCAGCTTGAGCCTCTTAAAGGACAGTTCTGGCCCAATTTGGAATCCACAAAGGCAGGGCATGGGGGCAGAAAGGAAGCCTGTGAACCAACTTGACAGTTTTCCTAAAAGCTTCAATGGTATTACTGCTTTTTGCTGAATGCTTGGTTATGGGTAACTTGGATTACTAAACAGGTAATAGAATTTATAACTTGTTAAATAACTTGAATGGGAGAAACTCCCAAAACAGATCCTGTGGGGGGAAATAGCAAGTCCTCAGGGGTTGGACAGGTTAGAAACAACTGCTCCAAACTACTGGGATAGCTGATTCTCACCACTCTCATCTGAGGCTGCTGAGAAATTCAGGGTACAAGGTCCCTGGGCATTGGCCCAGGCTCCAGGACTGGTTGGAGAGGGGGCTTGGTTAAGTCATAGTACAGTGTGAGATGCAAACCCCATCCCTAGAAGGGGTTCAAGATGCTGCCCTCTCTGCCACCTCCCAAGGGCCTGAGGAGGTAAGGGCCCTATTCCAGCTAACCTCCCAACTCGAGATTTCCTGTGTCTTGGGACTTGGGATGACACTGGCCTCTTTTAACCTGCCAAAGAACTATTAGGTCATTAAATATGTAGTTTATTAAATCTCAAACAAGAAGCAGTACAATTAATCAAAGTATGTGCCCAAACTATCAACACAGGTTTGCCATCAAACGGTAGCTTGTTTATGCCAGCAGTGAAGAAGCCTAGAGAACAAGTGGCAATGAAACTGCGAAAGGCATTTTCCACAGCTTGCTGAGAACTGAATATTCTTTCTTGCAAGAAGTGGTCCAAAGCCTGGAAGAAGTGGTAGTCAGTTGGTGCGAGGTCTGGGGGATACTGTAGATGACAGAGAGTTTCCAAGTCAAGCCTCGGTAGTTTGAGCAGTGTTGTTTGTGCGACATGTAGTTGAGTGCTGTCTTGCAAGCGGATTGGCCTGTCTCCATTGACCAATCTTGGCTGCTTAACTGCAAGCATCCTCACCCTTTTGTCCAGCTGGCTGCAGTGGACACCTGCTGTAATGGGCTGGCCAGGGTTCAGGAAGCTGGAGTGGATAACACCAGCGCTGGACCACCAGACAGACACCATTACCTTTTTTGATGAATATTTGGTTTTAGACTATGTTTCTGCACTCCATCTTTATCCAACCATTGTGCTGAATACTTGTGATTGTCAAAAACAGTCCATTTTTCATCACACATAACAATATGGTGTATTAATAGAAATGGTTCACCTTTACTTCGTGACAGCAAAGAAAGTCAAGCTTCAAGACAATTTGTCTGCTGATGCTTGGTTAATTCACGTAGTACCCATCTGTCCAGCTTCTTTACCTCACCCATTTGTTTCAAATGGTCCAATATTGTTGGAATAGTAACATCAGACCTTGCTGCTGATTCATACGCAGCTGGAGAAGGATTCGCTTCCACTACAGCTTTCAGCTCATCGTTATCAACCTTGGTCTCAGGTCTCCCATATGGCCCATTTTCAAGATTAAAGTCACAAGAACAGAACTTCTCAAACCATCGACACACTATGTATTCATTGCCACATCCTTCCCAAACCCTTTGTTGATATTTCAAGCTGTCTGTGCCACACTGGTTCCTCAATGGAACTCATTTTCAAAAATAACATGGAACTTTTGATTTATGTGTGGTTTCACAAAAATTCAAAAATTGCTCTAAAAAATTTGAAAGATAACCATGAGGGAAAACATGGGTTTGCAAGATTGAGGATGTACCCTCACCAAACAGAAAAGAAAAGAAAAAGAAGAATCAAATGTCAAAGTGAACTGTCAAGAGATATCAACTGTCAAACTTTTCTCCTGTCTTTATTCCCTCTCCCTCTTTCAAAACCTAGCTCATAGTTTTATAAATGAAGCCTGGAGAGCTAGTGGCAATGAAACTGCGAAAGGCGTTTTCTATAGCTTGCTGAGAATTGAATATTTTTTTCTTGCAAGAAGTGGTCCAAAGCCTGGAAGAAGTGGTAGTCAGTTGGTGCAAGGTCTGGGGGACACGGTGGATGGACTATAAAATTCAGTTCATAGCCCTTTCATAGTTTATTGTTAATGTCATTTAAATTACAAAAAAAAAAAAAAGAAGGAAAGTAGAGTCTGATCCTAGGCCCTAGGGTGGAAGCGCTGACATCTCCGCCCTGCGTGAAGAGGCCTCCTGCTCTCCCCTGCACAGCCTTTCTGCTTGCAGGCCTCCTCCAGCCCTCCCACACCCACATGCTCTGTCGCCACCTCCACCAAAACACAGCTTCCTTCTATAATTTTCACAACTACATTCTAGATCTCAACTTTCCCAAAAGCAAGATTCAATCCATTCTTTCAACAGCCCCTCCCTGTCAGCCTTTCTGTCATAAGAAGTCTATGGATAAAATCTTCTGAGCACCCCAGAGGAAAAATGCTCTTACTTTTATCTTGCATCAGCCTGCTCAATCTTCACTTGGCCTTTTACCATTTTATGATCTCTGGAATCACTCCAGTGCATCATACTTTTCAGTATTTATGGCAAGTCGCAACCAATCTCACTAGCAACAAAAAAGAAACCTTTAGAAATCTATTTTCCTTTGCATATTGAAACCATAACCATTTTTCACCTATGACAATGGACAAAATTTTAAAAGCTAGTGTTGAGAAGGACCAGGGAGAGGTGCATTTGCAGCCACTGCTAGACAGAGCAGACGCTGCTCCGGCCTTCCAGCAGGCAGCACTGGGTCAAGAACTTAAAAAATGGTCACACTCTCAGAACCCAGTGGTGCTTAAACTCGGGAAATAATTAGACAAGTTTGCAACAATATGTACAAGGATATACAATGTGGTTCTGAGTAGGAACAAGTGAAGACAATGTAACAGGTCCAATACTGGGGGCCTGATGACATTAAATACAGTACAAAGAAATACTGTGCAGCATCAAACATTATTAATACATATTTACCAGCACAGAAAGATTGTCATGGTTTATTGATAAGTGAAAACATAGGCTGTAAAATATAACACGTATATACACACACACTAAGCGATGTATATTATTTTCAAAGCTCTAGAAAGAGAAGCACCAAAAATGTGAACAATGTTGACTTTGAGGATGGCCTTCAGGTGATTTGATTTTCTCAATTTGTCTATCAACACCCTCTAGTTTGTACATAACATCTGGGCTACATGGATACTAAACAAACCTCTCCCTGCATACAGTCTGCCCCCATTAGTCCTCCCACCTCTCTAGCCCTTTGTTCTCCATTCGCTGAGTATCCTCACTGGCCAGGAGCTCTGGCTAATGGTGTCTTGTCTGACTCCTGTAACACCCTAGGAGGGGAGAAGGATTACTTTTGATCCTTGCCAAAGTGGGTGGGCTCCTCAGGACGAAGATACTTGCCTAGTAAATTAGGGCATGGCAACAACAAAAAGGCAATTAGCCCAACATAAAAATGGGCAGAGGATTTAAAAAGGTATTTCTTCTAAAAGTATGTGCAAATTGCCAACAAGCACATGGAAAGATGCTGAACACACTAAGTCATCAGAGAAATGCAAATTAGACCCACAGTGAGATGCCACTTCGCACCCACTAGGATGGCTAAAATTTAAAAATAGGCAATAACAAGTGCTGATGAGGATGTGAAGACGACGGAACCCTCATACAATGCTGGTGGGAATGTAGAACAGTGCAGCCACTATGGAAACAGTCCGGCAGGTCCTCAAAAACTTACATGTACAGTTACCATGGGACCCAGCAACTGTACTTCTAGGTATAAACCCCAAATGAATTGAAAACATATTTTTCACACCAAATCTTTAACACAAATGTTTATAGCAGCACTATTGATAGAAGCCAAAAAGTGGTAACGACCCAAATGTCCATTGGCTGATGAATGGATGAACAAAATGTGCTAGCTCCATGCAAAGGAATATTATTCGGCCATGAAAAGGAATGAGTTACTGATTCATGCTACGACATGCTATGAAAACATCATGCTATGTGAAAGAAGCTCACCATAAAAGACTTCACATTGTATACGATTCTGTTTACATGAAACGTTCAGGAAGAGGCAAGTCCATACAGACTCAAAGTAAAACAGCGAGTACCAAGAGACAGGGTAGGGGTCATACTGGGAGGCACAATGTTTCTTTCTGGCATGACAGAAGTGTTCTGGAATTAGAGGTGATGGCTACACAATATGGTGAATATACTAAAAGCCACTGAAGTGTATGTTTTAAAATGGCGAATTTTATGTTATAAGAATTATCTCTCAATAAAAATAAATCTGAGTCTAAAAGAAAAAAAAAATTAGGACAGGTACTCAAGTCTCAGGGTTGTGCAGATCCTGAGCTTCTTCAGAGCCCACTGACCTGCTTTCTTGCACCTGCTGGTGAGGGGAGCCCCACCCCTCACTCGAGGCAAAGGGGGCCTTCAAGATGAAGGAGGGTTCCCAATGCTTCCCACAGACTCCTTACTCTAGACGTGAGCCAATCTTCCACTCTCTATTTTTTGATTTCCCAACAGAGAACCATGCAAAGTCACCTGTTAAGCACGGGCTGGTCTGCTCCAAACACAGGTGGACAGAAAGCCAACAAGCTGTACCACCAGCCCGCACATCACTCCCAAAGAGCCGCAGCTGGCAACTCACCTTAAACCCACCTCCAACTTCTCCAAGGACATTCTGGACAGGCACCCTGGTGTTTTCAAAATGGACTTCACAAGCTGAAACATAAAATTTAAGACCTTATCTGACAACTGCAAACCACTCTGCAACCATGCATTCATTCATTTATCCATCCACTATTTGGTAGGACAGTACAGAAAGACAAAGTTTCTGTCTTTGTGGCACTCATACTTTGGTCAGGAAGACAAACTATAAACAAAATTATGGGTATTGCAATCAGTGTGACAGATGTAAAGAACAGGGCACAGTGATAGAAGTGGCAGCTGGAGGGGGTGGATAATAACATTCTTATTAAGGGCTATGTCAGACTTTTCTGTGACATTTAGCAAAGTTTAAAGGATGAGAAAAAGTCAGTCCTATAAAGATGCAGAGATAGATCAAAGCTAGAAGGAATAGCATTTCCTAAGATCTCAGGGTAGACTGGGATTATTGGTCCTAATTCATAACTCTAACACAAAACCGTACCCCTGCAAGGTATCTGTAGTGCCCTCTCACCCTCCCACCATGGTGAGGGATGGACTTCCCTTTCCCTGCTGGCTGTGGCCACATGACTTGCTGTGGCCAATGGAATACAGCTGGCCCAACATGAGCAGAGGCCTGGAGGCCTTAAATGTGCTTTCATGGTTTGGCGTAGCCCCTTGGGTGCTTGTGATCTACTGTGAAGAACATGCCCTGGGATGGTACAGAAAACACGGGCTCACCTGAACCCGACTCACAGCCAGAAGCAGGCTGCCTGGGCACCTCGGACCGTGAGAAAGCTAAATGCTCATTGCTGACTGTGAGCCAGGCTCTGGGGGCGACAGGATCACTGCAGTGAGGGATGGCAGCAGAGCCTGGAGTGAAGAAGGCTCCGCCTGTCTCGGGAACCAAGACGAGGGCGCCGTGAATGGGCTGCAGCTGGAGCGGGGAGCTGGGCAGGTGGGACAGAGGCTGGGAGGGGTCTGGACCCTGTTTTCTCTAGCAATGTATCCTGCATATTGTTATACAAACACAGCAACTCCTAGCAATTTACACCAGAGAAACTGGAGGCTCAGGACAGAGACGGTCATGGGGAGGGGAGCCAACAGGGCAAGGGCACCCTGGTCTTGCTCTTCTGACCTTTCATTCTATGACAATTGTGCTTGAACAGCTTGGATGGGAAAAGTGATGTAATGGCCGTCTCTGGCTGCCAGGCTGTATTCAAGCTAGTAGGACATGCCCTGCCGGACCAGCTCCCTCTCCCAAAGGCGCTTGTTCCCTGACAGGCTGTGGGTGTAGGTAAGATCCTTCCTTCCTCTGACCTCACCTTGTGCCATTCAGCTCTCGGGGCCACTACACAACGCTACCCACCAGGACTGCAGAGTGGACCACACCCCTCAGCAGCAGCCCAGCCCCTCCCTCCACCTTCCTCCCCACGCACAACTGAGTGAGCTCTTCATGACCGCAAGGCCTCTGTGCACGCTCCAAGTACTCATACTCACTAAGTGCCACCAGTCCCGGCACTAACACTGCCGTGCTTCCACGTGCACAGAGCATTTTACATACATCCGGACACTCCATTCTCATGTCACCTCCACAAGGGAGGTTCAATGATCATCCCTTTACTTTAGCTGATGAAACTGTTATACAGAAAGGTAAGCTAGCTTGTTCCAGGCCACACAGACTCCCAAGAGGTGGGGCTTGGGCTGGAGCTCAGGGCCTTTGGGCCTTCCAGCCTGAGCAGTCAGCATGGCAAATGCCACCATCCAGAGTGCAGGGTCCCCAATGATGGGACACACAGAAGCATTCCCTACAGCACAGACACTAGGAGATTCAAAAGCAGTGGTTTTTTTTCTTTCTTTTATTTGCTATTTTCTTCCTTCAGAAAAGGCAGAGTTGCTCACCTGGAAATCACCAACCCTCAATGCACTCAGAGGCACAGCCACTGTCTGCTTAACTGACGAGTCAGTGTCGAGGAACTCATCTGCATTGCCAGAGAAGAGTCTCTTGTGGCATTCTTAATTTGATCTTGCTAAACTAAAACTATTTAAATCTTAAATGTTATTATTATATTTTGTTGAGACAGGGGCTCACTGTTGCCTGGGCCACAGTGCAGTGGCATCATCATAGTTCACTCCAACCTCAAATTCCCAGGCTCAAACAATCCTCCTGCCTCAGCCTCCCAAGTAGCTGGGACTACAGGAGCACACCACCATGCCCTGCTAATTTCTTAGCAGGTGGGGTCTCACGTTGCCCAGGCTGGTCTCAAGCAATCCTTCTACCTCGGCCTTCCCAAGTGCTAGATCACAGGCACGAGGCACCACAGCCAGCCTAAATCTCATTTTACCTTGATATGTGGACAGAACAGATGTTCTCTCTCTAACACACACACACACACACACACACACACACACACAGAAGCTACTTACTGTTGGAGCCCCGAATGCCTAACTTATCTTCAGGTTTCCCACTAGTGACTCCACCAAAGTCTCTTTCTACTATGAATGCTGTGATTTTGTCTTTTACTGAGCCGTCAGAATCAGCAACTTCAGTCTTTGCAAACACAGTAAAAATATTGGCCACTCCTCCATTGGTGATCCAGACCTAAGGAAAGAGAGAACTTTGACGAAAATCAAACTCCTATGCAACCCTTCTCAGCTCCATCTTTGCCCATCAAGCTCCAGCTGCCGGCCAGACTTCAGGCCAGACTTGCAGAGTCTTTGGCTCTGCAGAAGCCAAGCCTGTGTGAACACAGAATGGGGCACAGCCCAGTCTCCCCACAGCAAGGATTTTCTCAAAGGACATAGGTGGCCGGGGCAAGGGGTAGAACCAGGGGGAGAGCAGCCAGCAGCCCCGCCAGTCAGGCTCTATCATCAGACAACTGGGTTTCTTCAGGAAAGAAGGGGTTTAATCATTTCACAAGGTATACACATATCAGAACATCATGTATATACAAATTCAATACACACAATGTTTATTTGTTAATTAAAAAAAGAAGAGAGGGAGGGAAGAAAAGAGAGAAGGGGAGAGAGGGGGAGAAATAAAGAGACTGCAACAAACTGTAATGTGTGGAACTCATTTGGATTTTGATTCAAGCAAACAAACGTAAAACAAAAAAGGTACGGGCTGAGCGTGGTGGCTCACACCTGTAATCCTAGCACTCTGGGAGGGCGAGGAGGGAAGATTGCTTGAGCTCAGGAGTTCGAGACCAGCCTGAGCAAGAGCGAGACACCCGTCTCTACTATAAATAGAAAGAAATTATCCAAACAACTAAAAATAGAAAATATTAGCCAGGCATGGTGGTACATGCCTGTAGTCCTAGCTACTCGGGAGGCTGAGGCAGGAGGATCACTTGAGCCCAGGAGTTTGAGGTTGCTGTGAGCTAGGCTGATGCCATGGCACTTTAGCTCGGGCAACACAGTGAGACTCTATCTCTAAATAAATAAATAAATAAATAAAGGTATGAAGCAATCAGGGAAATTGTGAATGCTGAATAGATAGTAAAGAATTATTAATTTTGCCGGGTGCGGTGTCTCACTCCTGTAATCCTAGCTCTCTGGGAGGCTGAGGCAGGAGGATTGCTCAAGGTCAAGAGTTCAAAACCAGCCTGAGCAAGAGTGAGACCCCATCTCTAATAAAAATAGAAAGAAATAGCTGGATAATTAAAAATATACAGAAAAAATGAGCTGGGCATGGTGGCACATGCCTGCAGTCCCAGCTACTCGGGAGGCTGAGGCAGGATTGTTTGAGCCCAGGAGTTTGAGGTTGCTGTGAGCTAGGCTGATGCCATGGCACTCTAGCCAGGACAACAGTGTTAGACTCTGTCTCAAAAAAAAAAAAAAAAAAAAAAAAAAAAAAAAGAATTATCAATTTTAAAATTATTTTTGTTGTTCTTTTTTGAGAGATAGGGTCTTGCCCAGTGGCCCAGGCTAGAGTACAGTGGTGCAATCATAGCTCACCTTAGCCTCCAACTCCCGGGCTCAAGCGATCTTCTCACCTCAGCCTCCCAAGTAGCAGGGGATATAGGCACCATGCCCAGCTAATTTTTTGTTTAGAGACAGGGTCTTGCTATGTTGCCCTGGCTGGTCTTGAACTCCTGGCCTCAGGCAATCCTCCCACCTTGGCCTCCCAAAGTGCTAGGGTTACAGGTATGAGCCACCATGCCTGGCCTATAAATTTTTTAAAATGTGATAACAATATTATGGCTTTGTTGTTCTTTAAAAATACTCCTATCTTGCAGAGACACATGTGGAAACTGCCACTGATGCGATCTAGTGGTGGTGATGCCCCCACAAGAGACACAGCAATGTGACGAGTAACTGATGAGGTTAGGTGCCAGGAACATAGTATATGTTTAAAATTTTGTGTAACAAAAAATTTTAAAACAAACACATAAAATCAGCTGTAGTTGGTACTATAAAAGCATGGAGACTCTGGAGCCAGAATGCCTTGGTCCAATCCTGGCTCTGTCAGCAAAGAGACACAAGACCTGGAGGCAAATCTGATAACCTCTTTGGGCCTCAATTTCTTCTTCTGAAAAAGGAGAGTAGCATCACCACCCAACAGGTGGTCAAGAGATCATGCACGCCCTTGAAAACTCCTGGCCCGGAGCGGTGGCTCACACCTGTAATCCTAACTCTCTGGGAGGCCGAGGTGGGCGGAAAGTTTGAGTTTAGGAGTTCAAAACCAGCCTGAGCAAGAGTGAGACCCCGTCTCTACTATAAATAGAAAGAAATTAATTGGCTAAAAATATATATGGTGGCGCATGCCTGTAGTCCCAGCTACTCGGGAGGCTGAGGCAGGAGGATCACTTGAGCTCAGGAGTCTGAGGTTGCTGTGAGCTAGGCTAACGCCATAGCACTCACTCTAGCCTGGGCAACAAAGTGAGACTCTGTCTCAAAAAAAAAAGAAAATTCCTGGTGCATGGAAAGTGGTCACACGGTGGTGGGCAAGGTTGTGACTAAGACCCTAACAAGGCCATGAGGATGGGGCCCCACCTTAGAGCCGTTGAGGACATAGTGCTTCTTGTCTTCACTTAATGCAGCTCTGCTCCGGATGGAAGCTGCATCACTCCCACTGCAGAGACAAAAAGATGTGGTCAAGGAATAAGAATACTGGGAAAAATAAGCACGCTTTTGAGGGCCAGAAAATGAGGCGTTTAGTACTTTGATACACAGGTTGACAAATTTTTTAAATCAAGAGTCAGATAATAAATATACTCAGCTTTCCAAGCTACAGGACATATGTCTCATCTCCTCAACTCTGCCCCTAGAACATGAACATAGTCTGTTAAAAAGGTGAGCATGTTCTGATAAAACTATTTATAAAAACAGGTAGCAGGCTGGATTGGCCAACCTCTGTTTCAATATATAATATCAGGTAAAAAGGTGGCAGTGAAAATAACTTGGGCTTAGGTCTGAACATGAATATGTGTGCTCCAAATAGGCTCATCCGTGCTTCTGAGAGGATGAGTTCAGTGCACCCCAGCAGAGATGACTATTCCCAGATTCCTAAGCAAAGGGAAGCAGGATGGAGTGTGGCTCAAGAGACAGCCCTACTATCTTACCCCAGCCCTGCTTCATCCCAGCCCTGTAACCTCAGGCTGATCACACCAGCTCACTGAACTTCAGCTCCTAATCTGTAAACAGAGGCAATACCACCTGCCCTACATACTCTGAAAGTGCTTTGAAGCCTGAATGCATTATCGTAGGTCAGGGGTGTTGTAAACCACTTTATTTAATAGTGATCAGGTACCTCACCTCATTTGTATTGTAGCTGGGACAGAGAAGTAAGATCAAGATAACAGAACTGGCAAGAACAGTTGCTGAGCTGATTCTTTAGAAGATTTTGGGAAGAAACAAAAGTCATCTATGCAACAAAAACAACAGCCCCTTGTCCCAGTGAACCATGGAAAATGCCAAGGATGCTGATGGATGACATTTCTTGCAGGGGACAGACCTGGCTGGCTCAGTGAGGCAGAAGGCTGCAATGTGCTCCCCAGACGCCAGTTTGGGCAAGTATTTGGCCTTCTGCTCCTCGGTGCCAGCCAAGATGATCCCCTAAACAAAATATACAGAGAATTAATTTCAGCTGTGGGGAGAAAAGAGAATATGAGATATGCTTATTCCCCTTTGAGGAAAATATTTGCTTCCTGCAAAAGAAGACTACACAGGCTCCTGGGGCAGCCTCAGGCAAAGTGTAGGGAGCCAGGCTGCCGAGGACCACACACACCAGGGTGGGGTTTATGGGACCTGCAGAGCTGTGCAGAGTCTAGGATTTTCATCATGGTTCTTCCGAGTCCCGCTCCAGGGGTCTTGGGCAAGGAACCTCCATTCTCTGAGCCTCCATCTCGTCATCCAAAAACTAGGGACAGCCCACCCAATGGCAGCATGGTCCAGAAGACGAGATGTGAGGACACCAGAGTGTTAGAACCATGCCCAGCATAACAAAGGTGCACAGTAATGTCAGGGGTGTCCTATCTCCTCCCAGACAGTGCCACATGCACAGGCCCCTCTTTTCTCTAAATGTCTGCATGAATGCTGGTGCTCTCCAGGGTGGGGGAGACAAACATGGCGTATGTTCAGCTCTCTTTGAGGTCTACATCAAGCAGTGATAACGTGAGTGATGAGACAGCCACAAAGAGCTGTGTGCTCCACACCCAGCAGGAGGAAGAAGCATGTGCACAAATGCCAGGGGAGGTGCCACCAGCAGAGTCAGGAGGGGAGGCTCATTTCTGGCCCAAGGTGAAGGCAGCGGCATCCAACCTGGGCCTTGAAAGATGGGTCAAAGGTGACAGGAGAGGAGGAGGATTGAACTGGGAGGGACAGTGTGATCTAAGTGCCACTGTGCACATGGCCACACAGAGGCTATGTATGTTGGACTAAGTGTCCTGGGTGCAGCCTGAGTACGGGAACTGTGGGGTGTGACTGAATATCAGACATCAGGCCTGATTCACTTCACATGAAAGTGAGCAAGCCTTCTGCCTCCAAGGCATCATGTGACTCCTAACGACCAAACAGGAAGCCCACTTGACCTTGAGGCCAATAGCCTGGTGTGCTGCCAGGGTCACAGCGATGGATGCATCCAGACTGATGACCTCCCCGAGCCGCGCGTACATGGTGTTGGAGAGGCCCAGGCCGCCTAGGAGAGACGCACAAGTGTTAATCACAGTCCAACCCCAGAGTCCTCCCATTATGGCAATGGCTTCCCCGGGTTTTCCCCTGATTATACAGTTAATGCCAGATCACCATAAAAAAATCATCACACAGAAGGTACAAAGAAAACCAGAACTGCCCACATCTTATCACTCAGAAAGAGCATTTCTGTGTTTATCCTTTTCAGACTTTTTCTAGGTACATGGGCACATATAAATTTTTTAAATATAAAGATATCTATATACACATTGAATCTCTTAATATGTTACGAGTCTCTTCCGTGGCAGAGGCAGATCTTTAGAAATGCAACAGCTATAGAGTGTCCCATTCATTGCCCAGTACCTAGAGGACTCTAGGGTGGGGTTTCTCTGCCATGGCGCTAACATCTCGGGATGGATCGTTCTTTGTCATGGGGTCTGTCCTGTGCACTGCAGTATGTTCAGTAGCATCCCTGATCTTTATTCACTAAATACCAGTAGTAACCCCCCACCCCCACAGTTTTGACAACTAGAAACATCTCCAGACATTGCCAAATGTTCCTGAGGGCCCAAATTGCCCTGAGTGGGAACCACTAAAAGTAAAAAGACAAAAGGATTTAAAAGAAAACAACAACACTGAACTTATGTATTTTTCATTTAATCTCCTTCCAGAGGTGTCCTAAGGTCATGAGGCTGACCCACAGCAGAGCAGGGCCATGCAGGCAGGGTGCGGTGCAGCTACCACCTGCAGAGGGCGCCACTCACGGACAAAGGGAAGGGCGACCCTGCAGGCGCAGGTTCTGCCTGGCCCTCGCGTTGGGGGGGGGGGCTCTGCACTAAGCACCCCACCCTGCCCTGGCCCACTCATCCAATCAAAACACTTCTGCTCTTACTCCCTCCCTGTGTTGAGGGAATTCAGTTTTGGTTAGAAAAACATTCGATGTGTCCCCCCCCCCCGAAAAAAGTAGGGCGCAAATCATGAGGGAGACAGCAACCACACGGGGTCCACGCAGGAGGGCGCGGGCTGGGCGGGGGCGGCACGCAGGAGGGGCGGCACGCAGGAGGGGCGCCACGCAGGAGGGGCGCCACGCAGGAGGGTGCGGGCGGGGCGGCACGCAGGAGGGCGCGGGCTGGGGCGGGGCGGCGCGGCACGCAGGCAGGTGCGGGCAGGGCGGCACGCAGGAGGGCTGGGGCGCAGCGGCACGCAGGAGGGCTGGGGCGCAGCGGCACGCAGGCGGGTGCGGGCGGCGCGGCACGCAGGAGGGTGCGGCTGGGGCGGGGCAGCACGCAGGCGGGTGCGGGCGGGGCGGCACGCAGGAGGGCTGGGGCGCAGCGGCACGCAGGAGAGTGCGGCTGGGGCGGGGCAGCACGCAGGCGGGTGTGGGCGGGGCGGCACGCAGGAGGGCTGGGGCGCAGCGGCACGCAGGAGAGTGCGGCTGGGGCGGGGCAGCACGCAGGCGGGTGCGGGCGCCGGCTGTGGTGGGACAGGGGCAGAGAGGGTTGGAGCCGCACACTGGCAGGCCTGGGCAGCTGCTGGAGCGCAGAGAAGGAAACCTAGGCTCAGTCAGCAGAAAGCTTCAGGGCTCCAGCACAGAGCTTTCCAACCAGGCTTTAGAATTCTCCAGGGTGACAAAACCTTCCCAGAACTTTTGGGCATGAACATAGGGTTGATGTTGCCTTAATTTCCCAAGGAAGAATTAAAATAAAAATAAAGCTCCAAACATGACCATATCATCTCAGGAGAGAAAAGCATTTGCAGAGTGGAGAGCGGGACCGGAACCAAAGCACGGGAGGAGAGCTGAGCGGTGCCGCCCCCAGCCCCCAACTCAGACCACGCAGCTGCCAGTAAGACACGCACGTGCAAACAGATGTATCCAGAGGCACACAGGATTATTCTGGGGAAAAGATAAGTACTTCTCATGAACCAAGGAGTGACTTTAAAATGTTTTGAAGGGGAATCGATATTATTCCCACCCTGGCTATGTCTGGTGGCTTCCTCCTGTTCTTAGGTATCTGTGTCCTCCGAGTACTTACTCTTTCATGCTGCTGACACACAGACCAAGCCCCTCTCCAGGTCTGCCGCACCCACTTTCTCCTCTGACACTCACCGCGGCCTGCGTGCTACGGCAGACAGGCCTCTGCTGCTTGTGAGCTACACCACAAGTCCCAGCTGCCTGGGAGGGCCCGTCTCTCCCAGCACGTCACGCAGAGGCTATTTTTGTTAAGAAACAGGATGTATGCCTCCCCCTGTGGAGGTCTGTGCTGCCACTTCCCACCACTGGGGCCAGCAGCAGCATTAATTTTAATAAGGCTTTTGCAGAGACAAGGGCAATTTGTTTCAAGTACAGTCACGCACAGCATACGACATTTCCGTCAACAGCGGACCACTTATATGATGGTGGTCCCATAAGACTGTAATAGAGCTGAAAAATCCCTACTGTCCAGCCTTGTACCATTGTAGCACAAGGCGTCACTCTGGGCCTGTGGTGATGCTGCGTAAATGCACCAGCTGCACTACCAGTTGGACAAAAGTCCAGCACATACATAGCTGGGAAAATGTCCAAGATCAGTTTGCAACCATGAAATGTGCTCAGCCCTTAAAGCACTACCTACTGCTATCTCCCCTCAACCTCAAGATCTTAGCTGCTCAAACCTGGAGGCAGCCCTAGCAAAGGCTTGGAGGACATGCAGAGTAAAGGCTATGGAGCCTGGAGCCACCTACTTATCTCGAAGGGGCCTGACAGTAAAACTAAATGGCCTCGCCGAGTGTGTAAGCGATATCTATCCCTTTGAAATACTTTCTATCCCCCTCCCTTTAATCTCTACACAATTCAGAAGACCAACTCAAGAACAGGCAAAAGGGAGATAAGCTGTAGGGACTGGCCAACTCCAACAAGGCAGAATTATACTGAGATCCTGGGGAGAAGGTTAAGGCCTTTCACTTGGGGGCTAAAAACATCGCTATGATGCTCAAAGAATTACGGGGACAGTACAAAGGACAAAGGGCCCTGCCTGAAGGGTTCCCACTGGTCAAAATGTGCCCTGCACCTACAGCCAACAGGACCCCAGGCCTTACTCCTTCGTGCCAGGATGAGAAGCACAGGGCTCCACAGCTCTTCCTCCCTATGGGTCCCTCAGTCAGTCCATACCCACCCACCATTTACCCATGACTGATGCTGTCATCTGTTTCAGCACCTCTGTAATTAGACCTACTGCATTTAAAAGGCAGCCTGTCTAAACAGCAACCTATTATGGACAAATATAGAGTGCTTTCTTAAGAGCCACACCAGTGAGGTGGTTGTTTCCCTGACTTACCATATTCTTCTGGGACCTGCATCCCAAAAAGCCCCAAGCTCTTCAATTTCTCTAAAGTCTCTTCTGGGATTTTCCCCTCCTGGTCAATTTTTCGAGAGTCCACTGCCAAGAAGAAATATTTTGATTAAACAAATGTAAGCTATTTCTATACAAAGAAAAGTAAACAGAATAGCTTTTATGTAATATATAATCCCCGAGTCAAAAACTTTTCAAAACCAGAAATTGTGAAGTCATCATTCAGCATGTGTTCAATTTCACATAATTAGCCCAGGAAAAATCCTCTTTTTTTTACTTGATAGGATCTCGCTATGTCCCTTGGGCTAGAGTGCAGTGGCATCATCATAGCTCACAGCAACCTCAAACTCCTAAACTCATACAGTCCACCTACCTCAGCCTCCCTCAGCCTCTCAAGTAGCTGGAACTACAGGTGCATACCACCATGCCTGGATAATTTTTCTGTTTTTTGTAGGGATGGGGTCTCACTGTTGTTCAGGCTGGTCTTGAACTCCTGGCCTCAAGTAATCCTCCTGCCTCGGCCCCTCAGAGTGCTGGGAATACAGGCATGAGCCACTGTGCCAGGCCAAAACTCCTATCTTTAAAATCTCTATGGCGATCTGTCTCTTGGTCTGGGTGCTAGTCACATGGTGCTTTCACTGTAAAACAGTAGCAAATTAAATGTTGATGACATGTAAGTTTTCCTGTAGGCATACTGAACTTCACTTTTTTTTTTTTTGCCACTATCTTCTAGGAAATGAGAGAATAAATATGCAACTCTCAGAACTGTACTAAAATGTTTAGCTAGATAGTCACCTCTAGGCAGTATCTGGGCCAAGGTCTGCCTTGCTGTCAGAGGCTACCTTGCTTTCACCAGAGTCCACAAGCTCTGAGACAACTTAATCTGTTAAACGTCAATCCATTCTTTCATTCAACACTCATTCACTAGAGCAAAACCAAGGAATCAATGCATTAGGTCTGCAATTACACAGTATTATATGCACCAAGTTGATTAAAGTATAGTTATGAATTGTTAATTCATCAGTATTATAAATTGCAAAAAATATCATTAGCTATACTTAGGAATTTTTGTATATATAGGTCACTGAAGAGAACTATGCATTCCCCTGAATCAGTCCAAACCCATCATTTTTTAATCCTTCTACAACTTTACTGACATATATTATTGGCATAAAATAACCTGCGCATACTGAGAGCATAGTTTGTTGCGTTCTGGCATGTGTTCACCCATGACAACATCACCACCAGCAAGAAGAAAACATTTCCTTACCGCCGCAAGTCTCTGTGCCCCTTGGAATCAATCCTCCCATCACCTCCATCCACGGGCAACCACGAATGTCTTTTTTGCCAGCAGAGTAGTTTGCATTTTCAAGTTTTAAATAAGTGGATTCAATAGCATGTATTTCTATTCCCTGGCTTCTTTCACACAATGTAATGATTTTGAGATTCATCTGTGTTGCTACACATATAAATACTTGATTACTTTTTGTTATTTCATATTCTATTGTATGGGTGTACAACTGTTCATCCATATTCAATAAACAGTATAAACACACATAAGAACCAAGAAGCTCAAAGAACTCCAAGCAAAAGAGATGTGCAAAATCTACACCAACACATGTGATAATCAGTTTCCCTAAAACCACTTAAAAGTAGGCAAAGATGAAAGAAACACTATATACAATGGAAGGAAGAGGAGAAGGACAGCGGACATCTCCTCAGAAGCAACATCAAGGCAGGAGCGAGTGGAGCAGCCCAATTACAGGCCTGCAAGGAAAACGTAGTCCAGAGAGAAATCTCCTCTGGTGACACACTGTAGTAATATTCATCCCCTGCAGAGCTGCTCACCGTGCAATGTGGAAGGACATCCTTCTTCCCACAGAAGGGTGGCGCCACCAAAAGGAAATCAGGTTCTACACGAGAGGACACAGATCCCTAGCAACAGTAACTAGACAGGTAACTACAAAATCATTTTTCTTATTTTAAAAATTGCTCTAAGAGATAAAGCAATAGTTCAAAGAAAAAGAACTGTATGCCTTTTTGTAGACATTGAAAACCTGATTCTAAAATTGATAAGGAAAAGCAAAGGACCTAGAGGAATGGAAACAACTTAGAAAAGAACAATGTTGGAGGACTAACAGTACCTGGTACCAAGCCTGATCACAAAGCTCAGTAAACAACATGATGTGACATTTGTATATAAAGACTGACAAACAGATCAATGGAACAGAATAGAGAATTCAGAAATAGGCACATACATAAATGGTCAATTGATTTTTGACAACGCTACTTTTAATAGGGAAAAAAATAATATTTCCAATAAAAGTTGCTAGAATAATTGGATAGCCACATGCATTAACAATCATACTCAAACTTTATCTCATACCATATATCCAATTAACTTGGAATGGATCATAGATATAAATTTAAGAGTTAAAACTATAAACCTTTTAAAAGAAAATACAGACAAAAATCATAGCCTTGGGTTTAGCAGATTTCCTACACATAATACAAAAAAGCACAAACTACACAAGGGAAAAAATGTAATTGACGTTACAAACCTTTCCTCTCTAAAAGGCACGTAAGAAAAGGAAAGGGCAAGCCAAGGAGTGGGAGAAAATTTTTACAAAACATGTACTGGACAAAAGATCTGAATGTTGAATATATAAAGACTTCTTATAACTCAATTAGAAAACAACCTAACTTTTTTAAATGGGTAAATGGGTATGGGTAAATGGGTATTACAAAGACACTTCACCAAAAAAGAAATACAGATGGCAAACTAGCATATGAAGAAATGCCTAGTCATTACAGAAATGCAAATTAAAACCAAAATGAGAAACTAAAAGAGATACATTAATGAGATATATTAAAAGGACTAACCACAACCAGAACTTAACATATACTGTAGTGGGAATGAAAGTAATCACTTTGGAAAACAGCTTGGCAATTTCTTAAAGAGTTAATACACTTACCATATGATCAAGACATTCCACTCCTAGATATCACTCAAGACAATTGCAAGTATATATCACACAAAGACTCACACAAGAACATCCACAGTAACTTTTTTTTGTGATAGCTAAAATCTGGATACATACCACATGTCAAAGAATAGGTGAATGGATAAACAAATCTTGGTATATCAAAGGAAATACTACTCAGCATTAAAAGGAAGGGACTACTGACACACGAAACATGGATGAAACTCAAAATTATGCACAAAGAGGCAAGACAAAAACATAATGTATGATTCTATCTAAATAAAATTCCAGAAAATACAAACTAATCTGTAATGAGAGAAAGTAGATCAGCAGTTGCCTGGGCACAGGGAGGGAATAAAAGAGGCTTAAGGAAATTTTAGGGGTAATGGGTATGTTCACTACCTTTGTTGTGTTGGTGGTTCCTCAGGAGTACATTATAAATACAGTCATGTGTCACTTAAGGATCTGAGAAATGCGTCCTTAGGTGATTCTCTCATTGTGTGAATGTTATAGAGTGTACCTGCACAAACCTAGATGGTATAGCCTACAACACATCTAGGCTACAAACCTGTACACCCTGTTACTGTACTGAATACTGTAGGCAGCTATAACACAACAGGAAGTATTAATATTTGTGTATCTAGACATAGCTAACCACAGAAAAGGCACAGTAAAAACACAGTATGGGCTTGGCATGGTGTCTCAAGCCTGTAACCTAGCACTCTGGGAGGTTGAGGCAGAAGGATCTCTTGAGCCCAGGAGTCTGAGGTTGCTGTGAGCTAGGCTGACACCATAGCACTCTAGCCCGGGCAACAGGGTGAGGTGAGGGGAGGGGGGAGGGGGAGAGGAGAGGAACACAGTATGATAATCTTATGGGACCACCGTTCCATTAATATATGCAGTCTGTCATTGACTGGGATGTCATTATGTGGCACATGACTCTATGGGTAATTTATTGTAAATACCTCAATTACACTTGAAAAAAAACTTGACAAACCACATAGTAAAAAAAAAAAATTTTTTTTTTTTGAGACAGTCTCGCTCTGTCACTCGGGATACAGTGCCGTGGCATCATCATAGTTCACAGCAACCTCAAACTCCTGGGCTCAAGCGCTCTTCCTGCCTCAGCCTCCCAATTAGCTGGGACTACAGGCACACATCATGCCCCGCTAATTTTTTCTATTTTTAGGAGAAACACGGTCTCGCTCTTGCTCAGGCTGGTCTCCAACTTCTGAGCTCAAGCTATCCTCCCTCCTCTACTCGACCTCCCACCTGTAATCCTAGCACCAGAGTCCTAGGCATGAGCCACTGTGCCCAGCCTAAAACTTTAATTAAATAAAAGAACAAGAGATGACAGGAATTTAAAAAAAAAAAGAAAAAAGATATAAGTAGGAAGATAATCACTAGGAAAAAAACCAGAAACAATTTCTAAATAATAAAACATGTTTATACATAACTAAACAACTTTTAAAACTAGCAACTTTTAAAACTAGCAACATAATCATAGTTAATGATACAGAACAGCACTTGTCAAAGAGGTCCTGGGGGATCTGAACTGCTTCAAGGGGGTCCACAGGGTCAAAATTATTTTAGTAACAATGTTATTTGCTTTTTAAATTCTAATTCTCTCAAGAGTATATGGTGGACTTTTTCAGAAGCTACATGAAATGACATCACAGACTAAATGCACAGATGTGAGAATCCAACTATCTTCTAGTAAGCAAAACTTGCAAACTGTCTAACTTGCAAAACTGTCAACCAGTGCCACTCTTTCCGTCTATTTGTTTTGTTTTCTGAATATTTTTCATTAAAAATAATGTTTATGTTAACATGCAATGGGGTTATCATTATTTTTAAATGAAGTCATAAATGAACACAGTATATCTTAAATTCTTCCATTTTAATTCCCAAGAGCACAAATATTGGTAGATAAAACCCACACAAACAAAAGCTCTCTGGGACCCTAGTGTTAGGGAGGGACTGCCGTCAATCCACCATCCCTAAACTCTTTGAACTCTCCATCGCTGCCCTGGCTGACTGACTGCTCAGACAGAGGGACCTGCAGCCTGGTCCAAAACCCAGTAGAAGCACTGACAGCAACCCTAAACTGCCACAACCACCAACTCATGGTCCCCAGGCTTGTATGGCCTTGGCTTTTTGTCATCTAATTTTTTCTAGTTATTCCTTTTTATTGTATTTGGTCTGCAACCATTTGGAAACGCTTACAAGTGGCCCTTTACCATGGACACGTGCAGAAGCATGGAACTAGATGTCTTTTCATTAAACAGCAATTAGGAAAATCCCTAAAGCAAAATGTTATGAGTGGAAATTCTTTCTCCTTCATTAATGACACTCGAGAACTTCCCCTATGTATGCCACTTCTAATATAAATGCTAATCTAACTGCATTATAATGGAAATCAGCAATGATAAAGAAAACCATACATACCCTCTTCAGTGAAGAATTTTTCCACAGGTCCCACAAACTGATTGATTTCATTGAGTTCATCTCGGCTAACTTCTGGAAATGGGAAAACTTCTTTCTAAAAAAAGAATCAATATTTACTAAAAATGTTTAGCAAATCTCCCATCATGGTAGCATCAGTTAAAAGGGAAGGAGAAGCATGTGCTAAACTCCACACGGACAGTAGGACATTCCCCGCTGAAGGAATCAGAAAGCAAACCACATCTCACAAGGCTCTTACCATACAGGAACTGTGCGCAGACTCTACAACCTACATTCATCTTCCTCCCTGGCTCGAGCAGGCTGATTCCTGACTTCGGTCAGCTTTCCTTCTCAGCAACACATGAGGGTGACTCTCCCATGAAACAAGGAGCCTTTGGCTAACATTCAGAAACCCTGGGGGTCTAGTCCTTGGTTTTGGGCTCACTAATTATTGGCCTTCTCCAAATCCCTTTGGCTCTCTAAGCTTCCACTTTCTCACCCATCAAATGCAGGTAGTATGTGCTCAAGGTCCTTGTGAGAATTGTGTAAGATAGTGGATGTAAAAGGTCCTTACTGAAATGTAAAATTCTACATCAATTGCTGTGTTAGCTCAAAGACACTGCACTAACAAGAGTACACTGTGCTTACCACGTCTGACCCCCTGTGCCTCTGTCCCTCCCGCTCAATAACACCTGCTCCCCGTGCTGTGTGTGTGAGGAAGTGAAGTCACTCACTGGACAAGGCTCAGCTGTGGGACCAGATCAACATGAGTTCAACCTGGGCTCAGCCACTCCTTGGATGTGTGATTAGGGCAACTCACACAGCATTTCTCAGCATCAGTTTCTCTTCTATTTATCTCAGAAAGTGGTTGTGAGGCTCAAAAAGGTTTTGTGTCCTGGAACATAACGTGACTAATTATTTGTATGAGATTCTGATTTTACTCTTGTCCCCACCTCATGGCCTAGAAAATGATGCAGCTTCCAATCTTTGTTTCAAAACAGTGAGTGGCCAATGTTTCTGACCATCCCAGATACCCCACTAGCCCTTAAAGTCACCCTGCCATGTCCTGAGCCCCTCTGGCCTTTTGGGTTCCAGCTACCCCTCAGCTGCCAGCATGACAACAGGTTTGGATGTGGACCCAAGACTACTGAGGAGTCATGTCCTGGGTCACAAGGTGCAGGCCCAGGAGCCCCACCTCTTTTCGTGGCACCTCTCACACCCAGTGTTCCAGACAGGTCTTCAGAGGAGTCTTCAATACTCCCCCAGCCCTTATGCATCTCATCAACCACCTGATTTGTCTGTCTACTTTAGCAATACATTCCTAACTGTTTTCTCCTCGCTGGAGCCAGGATCACTGGCTTACAGGTGGGTCCCTAACCAAAAGTGACAGCTGACTGAAAGGAATCCCTGCCTCCATCCACCTGAAATGCCCTGAAGGTGGCCTATAAAAAAACAAGCCGCCTCTGCCGCCTCCCGTCTCCTTCACTAAATACACAGAGGCTCGTTGTCACCCGAGCCTTGTGCAATGGGCTGTGTTAGAGATCATTCTGGTACCAGTGGGCAGGCCAGATGAGAAAAGAGAGGCAGCCTGGCAACTAGTTGGCCTTCAGGTACAATCACAGGGTTAAGTGCTACAGAGAGAGCGACCTAGGGGCATTGAAGAAAGAATTCTCTAACAATGGTCAAGTATTTCATGGGAGGGGAGTTCAATTGCAATGAACAGTTTTGAAATCTTCTAAACCAGCAGAACCTGTTATTCAAATAAATCCAGTGCAGAAACCAAATATGTAAAACAGATAAAAGCCAAGTGGCTCTGACTGAGGCTGCTGATGGGCAGAACAGTCACCCACATCCCACTCACTCCACTTCCCACTCATCCCACAGAAATTCCAGGAGCATTCCAAGAATAGCTCGGGTCCAGCAGGGGGCAGTGTGACAACCACTGGCCTAGATAATCTGAAAGGTCTCTTTCTATTCTGAGATCCTAAGCATCACTGCCTAGTTCCTGCTCAAAATCCCAGTAACGCCAGGAGAGATGATGTTGGCCTGTTCCAAGGTATTAATGGTAAAAGGGCCTAAAAGTGGTCAGATGCGCATATAACCTAAAGGTACAGAACATAGGATTTGCTGTAGGACTAGACGTGGTCTAGATGTGGAATAAGAGGAGTCAAGGGTGACTCCATGTGTACTTGGTCTAAACAAGTGGAGGGAGACATCGCTAGCTCCATTTTAAGGCTGAAAGAACTAAGTCTCAGAGTCACAGACCCAAGGTCAAACCCAAGTCCTCCAACTCTAAGATGAAAGTGAGTTCTTAATAACCAAACTGATACTATTGGCTGGGTTGTGTGACCCGTGGAAGTCACCTTGAAGCCAGATTTCTGAGGCACCTCAGTGTCAGGGAGAGGCGCTAGGGCTCACCTGCCAAAGAAAGCCCAGGGGCCGCCAGAAAGCGACAGAAAAGCCGCACGCTCTGAGCTGTGTTTTTAGGAATAAAAAAGAAAGCCCCGCACATTTCGAGGCAAGAACAGCTGGGGGGGGGGTGTTGCTTAGTGATCGCCTTGCGTAGGGTTTCCCAACTTCACCTGACAAAAGCTAGCTGGAACACTTGCCAACACCACATTTCTCAGGGTCCTGCCTTAGAAATGCTCCATCCTTTCTGTGGGAAGGCTCCAGTGGAACTCAAGCATCCAGAGTGTTCACACGCCTCGCCCCTAGGGTGTAACTCTCTGGCAGGTTTGGGACCCTGACAAAGCTCCACCCCACCTTTGCCTGCTACGGGCAAAATGCAGAAGCCACACAGCAAGTGTCCACCCAGGGCCCGTCGCGTTACCTTCTTGATTTTGCCCAGGAAAAGCTCTTTGGCGAAAGCTCGTATCGGCGGGCTGGTGCGCAGCGCCCGCCGGCTCCCGGTAAAGGCCACCAGAGGCGGGCAGGCGCGCGCCACCGCCGCGGACCACAGGAACAGCGCGCAGCCACTCATGCTGCTCGCGGCCGCGCAACCTGGGCAGCAACCTCCTACTTAGCAGCTCCGGCGCACACGTGGTCGCCGCCGCCTAATGACGTCACCGGCTTGCGACGCCATACGGTGCGCACTGCGCTTGCGCAGCCTACAGCAGGCCTAAGAGGAGGCCCGAAGGGCGGGACCACTGCCGGCACTGCCTCCTAGGCCTTAGTTGGGAGAGACTGACCCGCGCAGGCTGATGACGCCACCGGCCTGTGCTTCTCGCCAGGGTGGCGCGAGGTAGCCGAGTTGGCACGAGTCCTGGCTGTTGTGATGGCGGCCTCGGTTTTTGATACATAACAATTGTTTCCTTAGTGCCAGCCCTAGGAAGCTTCCCAGGAATACAAAAACCTAAAGAGTGGCCCAGCTTTCTCCACTTGCCTTCGTCCTGCCTCTTGCGGAGGCGAGGACATAGTAATACTAAAGGAAAGTGGGGAAGTTGGCTGTGTTGGGTATCTCTGCAGGGGGTTCACAGGCCAGATACTGTTCCTTTTTTTTGGAAGAGGAAAAGAAAAGGAGTGTTAAGCAGGAGAGAGGTCTGGATAAAACTCTTTTTGGGAAACACCAACATTATAAGGCGAGCAGAGGAAGAAGCTACAGAGGGAACAGAGCAGGAATAGGAACTACTTGGGGGGCGGCACAGGACTGGCAATGGGGGCCGAGGCTGGAGGCCCGACGTCTCAGGGCCTCGCACCACACGGCCACGCCCTGAACGTGGCAAATCGACCTCTAAGGCTCTCCAGCCTGCTCCTCCAGGGAGAATGCCTCTCTCCTTTATTTACCTGCTCGCTGAGCTTGTGCGCTGATGACAGCATTGACCACAGTGTTGGAAAATGCTTCCTGCCTCTGTTGTCTTACTCCTTGAAACTGCACAAAATCCTGTTCATCTTAGCGTGCTAAGCCCAGCCCAATAAAAGATTGGATTGCTGACCCAACATCTGGAAAAATGAGCTCAAAAATTTTCTTTGCTGCAAAATATTAACAAGCATTTTTGTGATCCGTGGTATCTGTTTTATCTTACCTACTGTTAAAGGTTTGTTACCTGTTTGTTTCTTCATCAGTGGTCAGTAGGTGCCTATTTTATTTTTTTCTCTTTTTCTTAGCAGCTTTCTCAGGTTGAAAATACTTGCCTATTTTAGCATTCAGCCTCACAAGAAGGCATTCAGAAACAACTGCTTTTGTGAATTACTTCCAGGGGTAAAAGAAAGAAAAAAATGATATGGAAAAACGGTTTCAAGTTTGTCCTTGCTGTACATGTTTGCCAAAAGAAATGTAGTCAGATCAGTCAAGTAATCTGATAATGTGTCAAATCCTGTTTAGTGTACACAGGTCAATCTAAATCACCAAGTGAGAAATCCACTGGCACATATTTTACCAAAAAAAAAAAAATGGAAAAAATTTAGGGCATAATTTCAAATTACTCCAATAGCAAAAGAGTTCTATTGTTCCACTACTTTACCAGTTTCTAGGTTCAGTTTCCTCAACTGTAAAAATGAGTGTAATACCATTTGTTACACAAGACTTTTGCGAGGTTTAAATAAAAATAATATGAAAGCACCTAGCACATAAAAGATTGTTTTTCCTGTAATAATTTAAAAGTGAAAAATGGTTACACTGTGAGAATTCTATCTTATACTTCAGTAGTAGTCTTGAGAAATATAATATTGTTTTAACAGTTTCCTTTAAACATAAAGATTCCCATATACGGTGTTCAGGTGGGGAACCTGTGGCTTGGGGCCACATGTGGCCTTCTGAATCCTTGAGTGTGGCCTTTGACAGCTTCCCAATTTTACAGAACAAATCATTTTAATAAGTTGTAAAGTGCTGTCATCCTTCTCACAGTACTTCTAAATGTCCTTCGTGTATGATTACGTCAGTAAAACCTTTTCCCAACATAACTTTCCAAAAAAATGAATTAACACCCGTACTTAATCATAATGTTAGTATTAGTATGCCAGAATGGGTGATTTGGAGTCTCAGAAAGATTGAGTAGAAAACTAATCCTAGATCCCTCACTATTACGCTGAGGCAGCAATTGGAGAAATACACATACAAGCCAAGGACCAACCCTTGCCAGCAAAATACCTGAAGGTAGGAGAGAGGCCTGGTCATATCCCTCAGAGGGATCCAGTCTTGCTGACACCTTGATCTCAGACTTTTCATCTCCATATCTTTGAAACAATAAATTATTGTAGGTCACCTAGTCTATTGTACTTTGTTATGGCAGCCCTTGCAAATGAATGCACAGGATAGGGTGGTTCTTGGCTCATAGTGTTCTCAGAGATAATTAGGGCCTGACGGGGAATCACAGGATGGGGGCTGTGTCTCACAGCCCACACACCCAGTGCTCCTGCTACGGGTTGGGATCAATAATCTTCTGATGAGGGGTCCCTGCACAGTTAAACATTGTGGGAGGATCCCTAAGTGTGACAGCACAGTCTGTAGCATCAGTAGAAGAGAGAAGGATGGAGGAACAAGGCCAAGGCTCCAGGTCACGAGAACAGAGATCTAGTCCTAATTCTGCCACTGGCCAGCTGGGTGACTCTGGGTCAGTGCCCTCACCACTGAGCTCCCCCTGCATTATCTATGACTTGGAGGCAGTGCTGTGGCAGAGACAGCTAGTGGCCCAAATCCAAATATCCCTGTGCCTACATCCATAACGTGCTGTTGTTAGTGTGAGGTGGCTGCCAGCCAGAAACTGCCTCTCCCACTCCCTGCCTCCAGACGATGTTCTCACAGAGGGAATGTGAATGGAAGTAATATGTGACTTCTGTCCAGTTTGTAAGAGTTGGAGGTTGTCCTTTGCTACTTTCTCTTCCACTGGCTGGACGCAGAGGACTCTAGGCCCTAGGCGACGGCAGTGCAAGATACGAGGAGCCAAGGTGTTAGTGTCAACCAACTGCAGGAAAGCCATAGAACGGGGACACCCAAATTGAATGGTCATGTGAGCAGGAAACATGTATTAAGTTACTGACATTTGGGGCTTTATTTATTGCAACAGCCAGTGTTAACTCATAAAAATGTCTTCCCAGTTTCAATGAAGCATGTACAGTACAGTGTAAATATAGTTGTCATTACTAGGGGCGGCACATCCGTCAGGCAGATGAATTGAGCCACAAGCAACCACATTTGTATTATTATTATTATTATTATTATTATTATTATTATTATTTTGAGACAGAGTCTCACTTTGTTGCCCAGGCTAGATTGAGTGCCATGGCATCAGCCTACCTCACAGCAACCTCAATCTCCTGGGCTTAAACGATCCTACTGCCTCAGCCTCCCGAGTAACTGGGACTACAGGCATGCACCACCATGCCCGGTTAATTTTTCGTATATATATTTTTAGTTGGTCAATTAATTTCTTTCTATTTTTAGTAGCGACGGGGTCTCACTCAGGCTGGTTTCAAACTCCTGACCTCGAGCAATCCGCCCGCCTCGGCCTCCCAGAGTGCTAGGATTACAGGTATGAGCCACCACGCCTGGCCCACATTTGTATTATTGAGCCCTGCCCTGGTCTAGGAACTCGTGCCCTCAAAGAGGAGGATAACAGCAGCTAATATTATTTGAGGAATGCTTCTTATGCTGGGCAATGTTTTATATGCTTACATCTCCATTCTCCAAACAGGCTTGTGAATTCAATTCTGTTAATTTGTGCTCGTTTTAGAATTGATGAGACTGAGGTGCTGCGAGGTTACACTGCCAGCAGTGGCAAAGCCAGGCTTTGGGCCACCGGGCTGGCTGCCGAGCTTCCGTGTTCTTATATCCCACACTATGCTGGCTTCCTGACGGCGCGTGGGATGGCGTAGGTGAATGAACACTGAGACTGCTCCTCCTGTCTGTTCTCATCTCTCATACTGTCTGACCCGAAATGTGGCCAAATGACTCAAATAAACTTACAACAGGAGCTGTGCCAGACCTCAGCCAGCTCATCTGTAAAATGAGGGTGAAGCTGGCTTGCAGGTGAGGGTCACATTAAGCACCGACTGCAGCACTTGGCACACAAGCACTGTTCTCAGGGTTGTTGCGGCTCTGCTTTCTTAAGTATGTCAGTGTGGATGTTGTGTACCAGTCAAACCAGTGTTCCTGCCAAGCTATGTATCAGACAACACACATCAGTTTTATCCATTCTACTCCCCTACTGCCTTGTGTCCTTGCGCAAGTCACTCCCTACCCTGAGTCTCTGTATCCTCCCCCGTCAGATGATGAAATCAAAGCAAAACATAGATTTGTCATAAAGACTGAGTGAACTAATATTGAATTCTCCTGCTCTACCCACCCTAACTTACAGAGTTTAGCAATCCAGCTATATACAAGAAAAAAATGTCTAAAAATAGGGGCATTTCAGCTTAGTTTTGGTCCTAGTGAAGATATTCTTTGAAAATGTGAGAGAGCTGATAAATTTACAGCATTAACAACAACAAAATACCTTTGAATTGCCCTTATGTCTCAAAGGACAAAGTAGGGCAAGATCTACGCTGTATAGCATGTTGCCCTCACTATTAAACTATGAAAAGGGCGTCAAAGAACACAGATGCGGCATGGAAACTGGCAGAATTCCCAATACAGTTGCTGTAATGTGGAAGCCAAGCAATCACATTAAATCACTGGGGTCCTCTTTATCTGTTTGCAGAAAAGTCAGTGAACCTGGTGTCTTATTTCCAGATAGCCAGGTGGCAGAGCCAGCCTGGAAAAAGGGAACTCACAGGAAACTGCACACGAGGAAGACACAATGCCACCCCTGCTGAAGGGAGTGTGAAGGCTTCCTCACTTCCACCTCCAGCCCTCCTTCTTCTTCACTCTTGACCTCATCCCTCTGCTTGTTCCTCACCTCCCATACATCTCTGAGGCGGAGAGTTTTGGAATTCCACAAGCCACACATTTCCTTCTCTCAAGAAAAGGGGACATGTATTCAATTCATAACAGAGAAAACAATCAGAACTGCAGAACAAGAATAAAACTACAGACACTACAAAAATACGGACCCAACACATTTTTTTTTCTGTACCAGGATTAATGAATGGTGTGATGTGAACACC